TTCGCACTTGACTCTCGTTTATATATACGAGTGTATATATACACAATATAAATATACAATATTATATATAAATAACGTCTGTACCTAATAAAGTTAACCACAAAAAATAAGTAAAGAATTAAAAAATCTGTGATATATTAGGATTATCGGTTAAGCTAAAATATTTCTTATGTCTTTGATTAATAGACGTATTCGTATGATAATAAAACCTTGATACAATCTTAACGTAAAAATCATAATAATATATTTAAAAAAAAACCTTTCGTACGCAGATTTATTGGTAACGTTCAGGTTTTATTATCAGATCGAAGCTCTGTATCAATTCGAGCCACGTTTTCTATACTACTTTTGTATAGTTTTTTTTTTTTTTTTATTGTAAAATTCTCATACATCGGTAAAAAAATTGTCATTGATTATAACATAGTTTAATGATTTTGAATTACATTTTTTAAGTCTACCCTACACTAACTTTAACTTTATGAGATGCCACTCAAAAATCTTCCTTTCTTATTGTTGAAATTTTTTGTTATATATTATTAAGAATTATTTTATGTACCATATCTATTATTTTTTTTATCATATCTAAACTACTCGTAGCCACTTCCACAAATATTTTTTTTTTAAATCAACTTGAAACTATTAAGTTATCGTGTCTACAAATAAGGTGGCAACACTACAAGTATTCAATGAGTGTTACTTGACTTGATCAACTTGCTGTGCTAGTTAGGAACGCGGAAACTATATATATTACTGAAACTAAATACATACTATTACGCCATATGGATTTAAGTCCACCTTTTATACTGTCTAGGTGTATTAAAGTTCAATAAATAAATGATTATCACTAGTTGACCTCATCACCTATCGATTGCATTTTTTCTTATCAGGGTAAAAACTGTCCTAGCTTTCAACTTGGAGCAAACTATACACATTTACAAAACTGTATTAAAATCGATTGAGTGATTTCCCAAATTAACGTAAACTAATATCATGACAGGAGATTTTTGTATATCAAAATTTATGATAGAAATTCACACAGACGAATTCGCGAGAATAGCTAGTTACCTATATAAATGGGATATAACAACCATGACCGCTAAGTAGCACGAACTATCTCCCGATCGATATGTTCGTTTATGCGTGATTGATAGTTCTTGTAAAATACATATAAAACAGTATTTATTACTGCGCCATAATAACATGCGTAGAAGAAAGTCTGGTCACGCCACTTGGGTATGGTATTTGATAGATATCAGCTTACTATTCTAAAAAAATAGAAAAATAGAAATATATTTTGACTATCCCAACACAAGTATTTTTTTTTAATTTTTCAAATATAATATGAGTAGAAACTATACGAAAGAGTTATAAATTTTTACATGGATTGATCTACGTACTAGTTTTGCAATGATTAAACGCTGATTTTTGCAAAACAAAAAACTTGGCATAGATTACATTGTATATAATATAAAATTATGATGTCTGATAACGATAAATAAATACATATTATCAGTACATACAATTACTTGACACGCTATTTGCGAAACACGCCGTGTGATCCCGGAATTGAAAGAGCCACCCCTTCATTTCCCGTGGGTGTCGTAATAGGCGACTAAAGGAACTTAATGTTCAAAGAATGTACAGCAGTATCCCTCTTAAAATATCACTAAAGCCTAACTGCATTTGCCTACCCGCCTGCCAACCGTGGCAACAACTAGCTAAATTCCCCTCTTGGGGAAGCCTGTGTTAAGCAATAGACAATTAACACTTCTTTCTTTGGCCAGTCGTATAAAAAAGATTGATGAACGCATTAAAGAATCTAAAGAGATTTATTTAGATTGGTATATTATGAAATCATTTCTGCCTAACCCAAAGGGATTCAGGCGTGATACTCAAGGCTAATAGTGGTTAGCAATCAATAATTTGCTTGCATAAATGTGAAGAAATGTTTTTATTGTCCTGTCTATTGTTTTTTTACGCATTCTTCTCTAATACTCGTACATCTTAGTTTATCGTCGATAAAATCCATCTTTTCTGAAATACCGGATGCACTTTCATATAGACTCAAGGTTATTCTATAGTTTTGTTCAATTTGGACTGTCAGTTACTAACAACACAATGCATTGAGGCCCTTAAGTAGCGCTTTATTAACTTACATTTTTTTTCATTTTTCGGCCTACAAACTAAAAAAGCTTTTGACACTTGAGGGCAGTACTGTCAATTGTATATTAGTAATAATTCACAGGCTTAAACCTCCTTGTGTACATTTATTTTGTACACTAATTGGAGATTTTTTAATATACCTAATTAATTTCACGTCAACGACTCACGATCTACGAATTATTTACGATGAATATATTTTTATAAAAATCGAAATTTGGTTTTTGCAATGACATTATGAATAAAACATGAATTAGAAATATTAGGATATCAATCAATTAGGAGAGCGACCTCGTAAAATTAGAAGTAAATTATTCAAATTTAAACTTAGAACTTGAAAATCTTATTCTAAATTCGATAGAATTTTATTTCTATTATACTTACTCCACTTAACTTTATAAAACTTCTTCTTTACAAAATAGAGCAATATCTTTTCGTAAAGCAGAGTAAATATAAAAATTAAGTAAATCATTTAAAAACATTAAGAACATATAAATGTAAATAAAGAAATAATTAAATATCAGAAGAATATAAGTACCTAATACTATATCGATCGAGATCACACGTTAATAATTTCAATTTTATCGTATATGTATTAGTAACTATCTAAAATAAAAAAAAAGCAGTTTACAATACGTCAATAAAGAGTTATAATTTATTTTAATATTAAAAGTTTCATAAGTATTCATTATATTTTAATAATATATATATATATATATATATATATATGATTTGACTAACACCATGAACTTCACACAGTACTCTGTACTACTCATCACATCGCTCAATCATTCCCCACTCATAACTAAGATATTTTGTCTCTTGTTCCGATAAAAATTTCACTGACTTCATAATCTTTAAACTAAAACACATAAATTACTAATCGAAATATGAAAAGCATAAATCAGGATTAACAACGCATGGTGTCTTATGTTCATTATAGTACATTGATTCTAAGAAGCCGCTACTATTGTTTTTCTCTGTAAGCAACTGTAGCCCTTTCTTTTATGCGAGTCATCAGCTTATTTACAAGATCGAGTTATTAAATTTAAGTGATTTAATTAGACAATTTATCTACTTAAATATACCTATTGTTAATTTTATCATTACATCTATTAAATTACTTGTAAAATATAAATGTAAGGAAACAAACAAATCTTTCGCAACGCCTTTTAACATGTATCCGTTACAGGAACGGAACTAGGAAGTTGTTTAGATACTAATTGTGAACACATAAATGGTAGAATTATTTTGTTTTCAACAACAGTAATTATTTTAATTTCCATATGTTAATTTAGTATTACGCAATATTAGTCAAAGACCTGCAATATGCATGCAATATACAAGAAACAAATATATTTATTTGTAAAGTTAGAGAAAAAGATTATAGAAAACAAACCTTTAAAGCTAATAAGATTTCATTTACGCAAAAAACATCAATTTACTTCATTTATGGCTAAAAAATATGAGATAAATACAAGAGTTACTAACAATAAAAATAATTATCAATATCGAGTCAAAATTGACGAAGGTATCGCGTAATACACACAAATTGGAAAGGTGAAATTCCTTAAAATTACAAATTTCTTAACATATCAATATATATAAGTACTACCTTAATTGTTTCAAAGCTTATTCTTAATCACGATTGTATAAAAGAAAGATTGTATATTGTCATAAATTTTAGTAATTTAAGAATTTACCAAAAGAGAATATCTCAGAGAAAGAGAGAGAGCAAGTACATGTGTTGATTTGGTTATTACTATTAATCCTAACATACTAATTCTAAAAATATATTAAATCGACTTATATCAATATAGCATCATATCATTCTTTTCCATGACGGTTGCATCGTTTGACCTTTAACCTATAGCAATTATATTTTGCATAATTCTATCTCGACTAGATTAAGGTGCGGCGAGTAGCATTTTTCGCATAAATTTTCAAGTCGCCATTTCGATAGAGACCGCATAAATAACTGATACATATGCAAAAAGAAACGTTGACTGTATTTGTAATAGTTTGCCTTGAATAACAGCCGTCTTGAACATTACAGTTGTAATAAGTGTCATAAGACTTTTATATCATTAACGGTGTGATATCATTTGTGGCGCCATCGACATACCAATTATAACAGGATAAATACAAATTAAGAAACACTTTCATATATATTTTGTATGAGGTTATGAAATAATCAGTACTATTAAGTTGTATCAGCCGTTAATTGTCCACTGCTGAACATAACCTTCCCCATAAGGGGGGTTTTGCCAATAATTGTCACACTTGACAGTTGGGTTGGTAACCGCAGTTAGGCTTTGATGATGTTTTAAGAAGGACTCTGTCTGGACTTTTGTCGCCTATCAAGACACCCACAGAAAAATAAGGGGTGGCATATTATATGCCGAGACCACACGGCATATATATGTATGTATATATATATATATATATATATATATATATATATACCCTACTAATCCGTATACATTTTTTTTAATAATACACCTTTAAATACAACACACTACAACTACTATAAATTATTTTATTTACTAAGTCTAAGATTTATTTCTTGAAAGAGGTTGATTTTTTAATAGTTGAAACTGATTCTTAAAACCGCTTAATTATTAGAAACAATAATTAATATACCTATCATATTTATCTATTTTCAAAACAAGTCCCTTTTCGGTATAGTTAGAGAAAACCGTGTGGCAAAGGCACGATTCTACCTTTACGTAGCTATATATATCCTACACGCAAGCTGGTAGTGGAAACTCTCGATTGCTCTCTCTGATAGAACATGATATTAATAATGATCAAATAGTACATTTGATCATTAGTCTTACCTAAAATATTAGCGAAGCTCCACGAAGCCACGCTCAGCAAATCTGTAATTAAAGAAATCACGATTACATTAAACATTCGCAAACGTGAAACATAAAAATAACTGACATTATTGCAGTTTAAATAACATGCTATTAAATAGCAGTTAAATAAAGTTATCAGTAACGCCCACACTTGGGAGTTATCATGCGAGTTTGTGGACTAAATTGAGTAATATATCTACAACATGATTGCTCCTGAAGAAAGTGAAAATAACGAAAGTAAAAGGCGATCGGACGGGTTGGCCGCGGCCGTAGACGAAACGAAGTGATGCGACTGTGTTCTAAACCTGTTTAGGGACATCGGATCTTTTTTTCATTTATTTATAGAAATTAGAAAAGTATTTAAGAATTTATAAGGCATCCAAATTATTTTGCTTCTTGTAATGCTGTTTTTTTTTTTGCTTACATATCCTTGAAAATTTTACATAATATTTTCAAGAAAACAATATTATGATCTCTAAACCTGTTTGGGGATGTCGGATTCGTAGTTTTTTTTTTTTTGTTTGCATACTAAAAAAAAATTTGATATTAGAAAATTATTAGAAGAATTTTAAAATTATCTTGCTTCTTGTTTTGCAATTTTTTTTCTACATACATTATTTAATAATATATTTTTAAGGAAAAAATGTATAAAGCTCTAAACCTATTTCAGAATATTGGATTCGTAGCTTTTTTTTTTTTGTTTTGCATATTTATAGAAATTTTGATATTAAAGAATTATTAAAAGGATTTTCAAATTATCTTGCTTCTTGTAATGCTGTCTTTTTGTCTACATATTTTACGTAACAGTATCTTTTTCGAAGGCAACTATATAAAGTTTTCATTCATTCGTTCATTCACCAACATGGCGGCATTATGAATGGCGGTTTACTGCACACGCAACATTTATTTATGCCTTCATAAAAGGCCGGTAACGCATTAGAAATTCTGAATGAGTAGTCATTGCTCTGTAAAAAACTATCTAATTCAATCGTAACAAAATTAATATCGTATCAACATATTAGTAAATAGATTTGAAAAAGAATTATCGAAATCGGTTTGAAATAGCTACAATAATGCTTAAGGTAGATAAAAAAAAAAAAACAGGCAAAGCTTTTCTTTTTGAATGCGCTCAATAAGTGAAATAGACATACGATCTTCAAAGGTTATCGATTTATCATGAAATATTCAAAAAACATTTTAAAATGTCGACCTTTTCTTGAGGAAAGTTATTTATTTTATAAACGCTGTCTATATTTATAATATAAAATATTATCATATCAATTACTGTAAAGATAGAAATAATTTCGATTCAAAGACATTAAATAAGTACCGCCTAAACAAAATATAGTTACTTTTTGTCGTATATTTTTCCTACTAGCAGTATCCATGTACTAAGTTATTTCATAACCTACCCGTGTACAAAAATTTCTTTCAAATCTGTTCGGTAGTTCCTGCATGAAAGAGTAACCAACATCTATCTATTCATCCTTAGAAACTTTTGGATATACAATATTAGATTTACATTAAAAAAAAATTAATATAAAATATATTTAGATAGGCCCATATACTGATAGATAGTTTTTCATAAAATATCAAATGTCTAATAAAGCTATTGCAACCTAAGAACAAGGAAATCTTTAATTTCAACTGTTGAAGTGTTTTGTTTTTTTTTTCCTTTTACGCTGAATTCTTTATTAAAAAATAATACAAAACATTGTAACAGTAAAATCTAGTTTGTAGTAAGTTTTACTTTTTACGAATAAAACTGTTTGTAATAAGTTAGGAACATGTGCAACACAAATAACTTTCCTATAAAAGTGAAGCAGACACACAAAAAACACGGACTGGGCACCAATGTTGTTACGCAAGTAAAATCACTTTGATATCTGTACAAAGACTATGGTTTTAGTACAAAGTATAAACGGTTAGCGATTACAGTTGCTATTGAAATTCTTATTTCGAAGTAATTATTGTAATACTTTCAGGAACAAAATTTTATAAACATATTTTATTATAATTTGTTATTTGTTTTTTATTATTTTATGAAACAATTTGTCACTGTACTGTTTAAAGTCAATAAACATTATGTTATACTTTTAATTTTGTAATGTATTTATTTTTCTATGACAATTATACATATTAAACAATATATTTTATGTATATTTTTGTGTTATGCACCGTAAAAAAATTTTAAATAACCTATAATCAACTAACCTATTCTTTGTCAGACTATCATACTACTTCAGATTCAAACGCCAACTTAATAATTAATAAAACGATAAATCACTATACTGTTATAAAAAATATTAGATTTTTATTAAAATAGATAAGAAACACTGAATCATAGTCAAATCCGTATTGTATGCGTTGCGTGGTTTTCAGACGCAGCTAGAGAAAGAGAAAAACACGGGAAGCGATTTATTGTATATAATTTAGAGCTCAGTTTAGAAACTCGGTCATATAATATTGTCGCTTTACTCATTTGACATGCACCAAACACGTTTCTTACGGCAGATGGACTGCCGCGGGGCGCGTTCTACGTCAAGACGCCATTGAACTCAGTGCCTGTATTATTGAATTTTAATAAGTACTATAATGAACTGTCTGATATTACGAGATCGTTTGTAACACCCGTAGGTGAATATTCGTTGATTAAATGAGGCGTTTTTATACAATTTGGAACAGCAGAAGCTGATGGCCCGCGTCTTTGACAGTGGTAATCGTCGCCCGTTAATAATAATATATTTACAGCACTATGGACACCACCATGACCGTGTAGTCCGATTAAGGCGGTTAAGAGACGACTAAGGGAGCTTATAGTCAAGGGATTGGCAACAGCGTCCCTCTTAAAATACCATCAATACTTATCTGCGGTTGACAACTCGTCTGCTAAACGTGGCAACTACTGGCAAAATTATCCTTATTAGGAGAAGGCTATATTCAGCAGTGGACAGTTAAGGCCTAATAAAGTAATATTAAAAATACCTAACTTTCAACCCTATAAAAGTCAGTGATGATCGGTTGGCGGCTGATATGATAATGGACACAACAGAATATACAGTGACGCCCATAGTACCCTTTATCATTTCAAATCACATTTAAACTAAAATAGAATCGTGCAAGCACAGCTGTTTGGCACCAGTAACACAAGTGGTATAAAGGTATCCTTGTATATGACTTTTGAATACCGTCTCCCACTAATTATACATAGTTTCGTATGTGTAAATATTTTTTTTTATTGCGTGATAATGGAATGGTAACCTCGCCTGCGTTAACGGTGTACCCTGACGGGGCACCAATGATGATAGCTTAATGATAGGTGCAAATGTAAAGGAAGACCAGTTAGTCCATCGAGATGAATACACCTGGAATTCAGCACGATGGTTTCCAGAGGGGACCACGACCTGACATATTGCTAGCAATAGGACTGGTAATCCGCATTACTAACAATAACGTGTGAATATATTACTTAATATTTCAATAAACTGTAAGCCATTTCACACATAATATTATAAAAATGAGATAAGTGTTTTCACACGGAAATTGCATAATTAACAAGTGCATTATAATAAATTCGTTGTAAATTTATTTTTTTAAGATTTTATTGTGCTAGGCAAATTTAATTTTTGACATTTCTCAAAAACTCAACTAAATTGGATGCGGTTTTCACAATTATATTCCTAAAACTTTAACATAAAAACAAAAAGACATATCATGTCTCGATACGCCTTATAGTCCATTGGTTTTCCTACTGAAATATACATGTACGGAATCGCAAACAAAGAGCCAGAAAAGAATAAGGAAAGAATAACATAGATTATTTTTATACTAATTTACATGAGCAAACCGATGGAATACAAATAGTTTTATAATAATTATATAATTAAACTAGTTTTTTACTGGCGCCTATCTTTTACGTGACCATAATATAAATTAACGGGATAAAAAGTAGTCTATGCCCTCCACCATGTCAAATACGTGTATGCCAAACATTACAGTAGGCGTTAGGAGGTAACTAACAGACAGGCATTCATATTTATAATATTAGCAGTGACAGAAAGTAACAAAAATATTCCTATATTCGAAATATTAATTTAAAATTTCTATAACCTGCGGCTTCGCACGCATAAATCAGTACATAAGGTATGCTCTGTCCTAATTTAGTAAACCAAATTTTAATGTTTTTGGTTGAACAAATAACAAACATCTATCCATACTATCCATAGATGGATATCTATACACACAAAATTTCGTATTAATAGCTGTGTTAGTTTTTACCTGCAACTTTACTAGAAGTTCACTAACCGAGATAAAAAATAGCCTTTGTCCTTCTCCATCCCGTATAGTACGTACATATATGCCAAATTTCACCGTGATTGTTTAAATCGTTAAGACGCTGGGAGGTACCAAACAAACAAACGCACTTTCACATTTATAATATAATAATACTATGTATATTAGTAATATTAGTAAAGATAATAGAATTCATATTATATAATATCTAGATACTTACATTTTTAGAGACAGTTTCCTAAAACTAGAATTATAATATCTTGTTCATAATTTAAGATTCTACATAAAAAAGTCACTTCAATTATCACAAAATCTACTGATTTTTGTTTGAAGTCAAATTTCTCCAAATCTGTTTACAACTGACGGTGTTATAAAGTAGCAAACAAAATAAAATATCGAATTGAGAACCTGCGTTTTTTTAAGTCGGTTCAAAACTGCCCAGTGTTAAGTTAGTACTTCAATAACTTAACGAATATTTATTGAAAATTATTTAACTATTTGACACCTTCAAAACATTCAAATTATATAATATATATAATAACATGCTATCTATAACTAACTATCAACGAATAACTATAACGATTTTCGATAATCATTAGTTTAACACGTTGCATAACACGTAAATTATATGGCTACGTAATGCTAACTCATAATATATTTATATATACTCACAATATATATACATATATAAATTATAAATATATAAAATGGGCCTATAAATTACTTTT